CTATATATATATATATATATATATATATATATCATATTTGTCATATGTCATATTTATTTCATTTTTGAACCTTGCCCATAATCTTTGTTCCAAGCGTTTATTCTTCCAATTAATTTTTAACATAGTTTTATATTTTTCTAGTGAAAAATGGCATCTCGCAAGAAAGTGTTGCTGAAAGTCATTATCCTTGGAGATTCAGGAGTTGGGAAGACCTCTCTGATGAATCAGTATGTTAATAAGAAGTTTAGTAATCAATACAAAGCGACAATAGGAGCAGATTTTTTGACCAAGGAAGTTATGGTAGAGGATAGAATAGTCACTATGCAGGTAATCCTCATGTTTGTTATAATTATCTTGATGTGTTGCCAATGTCTTGTTAATATATTGTATTAACGATAAAGTTTTTCTTATTTTAGATTTGGGATACCGCTGGACAAGAGAGGTTTCAATCGTTAGGAGTGGCTTTTTATAGAGGCGCAGATTGTTGTGTACTGGTATTTGATGTATCTGCTCCAACTAGCTTTAAATCTCTAGATTCATGGAGGGATGAATTTTTAATTCAAGCCTCTCCTCGAGATCCAGATAATTTTCCATTTGTCGTGCTTGGGAATAAAGTAGATCTTGAATCAAGAGCGGTAAGTAAAATTTCAAAATTTATGAAATTAAATCTTGCATAGTTTTATATAGTTGAATAAATTATATACTAATTTGATAAATACTATTTAAAGCTTAGCACTTTTAAATTAAAAAAATTGATTTTTCCTTTTTACTTTTATCACTTCCTTTTTACTTTTATTACATTCTTTCATTTCTTTGTATTTTAGGTTTCAAGCAAGAGAGCACAACAATGGTGTCAATCAAAGAATAATATTCCATATTTTGAAACTAGTGCAAAAGAGGCTATTAATGTCGAACAAGCTTTCCAAACGATAGCTAAGAACGCTTTAGCTCAAGAAAGTGAAGTAAGTATTGAACAGGTGAAAAGATTTTTTTTTTTTTAGTTTATATATTTTATATATGCTTTGTAAATCTTAGGTTGAACTTTACAATGAATTCCCGGATCAAATCAAATTGACCAATGACCAAAGAAACAATGGAAGAGGCGATTCATGTGCTTGCTAGGTCTTGGCACTTAGTGGTAATATCTCGAATGACTAATAAAAAATGCAGGTCAGATCACGTACATTCACATCATCTGCGCATAAAGGATGCGAAAAATATATTGCGATGAGAGCTTTATGTATGCAGGAAGTCATGAAGTATATTTCTTTATCTCAACGTATTATACAATCTCTGTAAAAAAAATATCGATATTCTTGTAGTTTTTTTTTTTTTAAATCAGTGTAAAGACAGTAACGAGTTTAAATCCATACGTAAAAGAATGTGTACAAACTATCTCTTTCTACTCATACATACATGCGCGCGTGTGCGCATACATACATACAAAAAAATTGTTTTTATAAACGTGTGAGAGATACATTTATTCGACTTCCTGACCTGGAATATCACAGTTTTGAATTATGTACTCCCGCTGAACTTGACTTGTCATATGTAGATCCTTTATCTATATGTTATTCTTTAAGTCAAGGATTTGCATCTCGTTTCTAAGTATTGTTTTTAAATATGCTCTCTTATCGGGTATGGCGAAACATATGAACTATCTTCTTTCTTAATCTCATTCTTGATAGTTTCGCGTGATTGATTTTCACCCAAACAATAATAGCTCGTGATTTTCAAACGATATATACGAGTCGTTATTGCACCAGAAAGGATAATATATGGACCGGGAACACAGTTAGCGGTATACAGTTAGTAAATTATAATAAAAGAATTTGCTCATAATTTGTTAAGTACAATTGCATTTACAGAGAAGCTCTAGTGCGTATAGCTTATTATTCTTAGACAGAATCGAATATTTGCCGTCAGTAAAAAAATGGCTCGTATGACATAGAATGAAAATAAGATAAAGTTACAATAAAGTTACTAAGATACTTTATAGTATGTTTCATAAAATGTTCTAACTAAGTCTAAAATTCACGCGAATGATATAGTATAAACT